GATCAATATTATATTGATGCCCTCTGATATGTTCTTCAGTCCCCAGACATGAACCGAACTCACCTCTCTCGCGACTATAACTACTGCATGTATGTTCACCGTACTACATCAGACTGTCACTTGGCCTCGTCACCATCGGCATTTAGGTTCTTTCAGAAGTACTTATCCTTGCTCAAGATTCCCTATAACCAGTGCGTCACTTCCTTCTCTCTTTGATTCTATCTCACACTGAATACGACCAGATTGTATTCACCGCAAACAATCAGCGCTGGCCGTCCCTAGCCACTCCTCCGCACCCTATCCTCTCACAAGAGCTTCTCAAGTGTGACAGGCCGAATGTCGCCAAGGAGATCTGCCTTTTGTGTATGTATTCTATGTCTTCATCCCTCATCGGCATGACTATGACACCCATTCACAGAGCCACACGACCCCTGTCGATCTGCTTTCCTCCAACAACGGTGTGTATCCTTTCCTTCCCTGTACTAGCATTCTAACCAACTTCTAGGTTGGGAACACGCACCGCACTTTCATCGACATGATGAACCCTTTCAGCGGCGCAATCCCCACCGACCCTCACAAGTCTCTGGTTGGATTGTTCCAACACCCGGCGACTGGAGAATGGGATCCGTCGCAGAAGCATCCATCGCCAAGCCCTGGAGAATTATCGATTGCTGCGTAACTTTCAAAGCTTTCCCATTCAATCTTAGGCTATGACGCCAATCCACAGGAGTACGTGGCACATGCCTACGTTCCTTGAACAACCGTGCGTACCCTCTCCTTGCCCCCAGTGCACATTGTGACCACCCGGCAGGTTTACCACGCGCCGCATCCACTCTCAACATCCACCACCACTGTCCAGGTGCCTCCCCACATGGGATTTCTTTCGTCAACGGTGCGTACCCTCTCCTTCGCCATTGTACATGTTTGATCAACCCCCCGGTCAGGAACGAACGGCGCATTTCTAGTTGGAGGCCAAGGTGCGTGAGCAAGATCATCACATTCTCCTCTGACACGTTTCCAGGCACGAGACATATACTGAATACACATCTCTCGCCGTCACAATGACTACATAGATGAGTTCTCCATATCACAGGTGCACCACTGGCTTCTCATGTCGATCCCATCTCACACTGACCATGAGTAGATTCGCTCCCTTCCTCCTCCGCGTACTGCACTTGTCGCGAACAATCAGCACTGGTCCTCTGCAGCCTCTCCTCTACACCCCATCCTCCTACAAGAGCTTTTCTTCCGGCATAACGCACCGTATTTCGCCAAAGAGATGGGCCGTCTATGAACTTATTCTGCGTTCTCATCACGCGTCGATATGACTACGGCCCCTATCCACATTAGCAGATAATGCCAGCCTATCTTCCCTCCTTGAACAACTGTGCGTACCCTTCCCTCCACGCTTCTACTCGTTCTGACGAACTGGCAGGTTGTGAAACGCACCTCACTCTCTTCTTCGTGCACCCCGTCAGCAGCACATCCCGACCGCCCATGCGTACCCCTAAACCGCGCCTTCCGCCCCCTTCCTCCATCCACCACCATCTGCCAATGAATGCCTACAGAAGCGAGATACTGATCCCTCATGGATAATGCCTACCACCTACCCTCCCGCTTCATCCTCCACCCTCACCCTCTCTTCTCCCCCTGCGCACTTCTCCCGGTATGTACGTGTCCACCCGTCGTCGGAATGACTCTGACACCAATGCGAAGGAGTACATGATACATGCCTGCCCTCCTTGGATGACTGTGCGTATCCTCTCCCTCGTCATAGTACCAGCGATGACTAACGGCCAGGTTAGGAACGAACACTGCACTTCTAGTTGGAGGCCAAGGTGCGTGATCACTCTCATCATATCCCGCTCTGACACGTTTCCCAGGAACAAATATTCACTAAACTCACTGCTCTCGATATCATAATGTTCGATGTTTGTTTGCCGCAGTGATCAGGACTATAACTGGGTCTTATCACAGTCCTCATCGAGGTTCTCTCAGAGGTTCTTATGGCACGCTCTGTATTGCTGGTGCGCCACTTGCGTCTCCTGCCGTCCCCTCAGGTCACAGTGACTGCGAGCTGATTCACCTCTTTTCTCGTAGATATGCCGCTCTCTGGATGTTTCTGGCTTACTCCCATCCCAGGAGTGGATGTCGCCAACACTCAGCACTGGTTCTCCGTCGCCTCCCCTCCGCACCCTATCCAGTTGCAAGAACTTCTGAAGCATGGCACCCCGCCTGTCGCGAATCGATGCGCCCTCTGTGGACGTATCCTATGTCCTCCTTGGTTGTTGGCACCACCATGAATCTCATCCACAGGAGCACATGACGCCTGCCGATTCCGTCCTTCAGCATTGTGCGTACTCTTTTCTGCCTCATAATGCACGTTGTGATCAATTGGCAGGTTGCGAATGCACCCCTCACCCTCTTCTATATGCACCCCGTCAGCAGTGTACCCACACCGACCTCCACAACCGGTCGCCTCGTCTTCTCCCGCAAGCCTCGTCGACCACTCCACATGCTCGCTCTTACGGATGACGCCGCAGCGAACTGTACCAACGGATTCCGCGCTTCCACTGTCTCCCCCACGACCACCGCAGCGCACTCAGTCACACTCTCAACCCCTTGCTTGCCTTTACCACCAAGCTCTCCGCAAGTCGTCCCTACCTACCGCGTACGCGACCAATCAGCTATATGCTCTATCCGCCATAGAATCTGTTATCGCCAACCCCTGAAGACGCGCCAATCCCCGCACGATGTTCGAAGTTCGCCCAATCAATCTCACGTTGCACTTGCATCGTATGAGTAACATGTACCACATAATTGAGTTCTTACACTTCCGCGCTCAGATCATGATGGTGCGCACTTATCAACAACTCAATTTAGAATGAGGCTAACTCCGATCCAGGCATGCTGTTGCTACAAGCAATGTGCGCCTGAAGATGATCCGGTCCAGATCAGCTGTTGATCTTGGCTCAACGTGGGAATCTCCCGCGGGCTCTTCTCAACCTTTCGGACACTTGCAGAGGTGAACATTATCACCACTGGCGATCTATTTCCACTTCATCACTGCCGACTTTTCAAGCAACCACCACGGAGTGCACCATCCTTCATACAAGCTGAAGCAAGAGGCAATATCCGACGAACTGACTTTGGGCATCCTCACCGTTCTCAACCGCCTCCTCTCGGAAGTACCTGCACCCATTCAGATCGACATTATCGACGTCACCGGTACATTCCCTCTTCCTCTTTTATCGCACACCCTGACAACCTAAGCAGGACTCACTTCCCCCCTTCTACTCGCTGTAACGCAATCTTTCCGCTCCTGTACGATCATGCTTCCCCTCCACCACCGGCCGCACCCCTAGCCTGGCAAACTAGTGCCATCCACCTCGTACTCCATCCGCATCACGGGCGCTCACTTCGTTAACTCTTACAACATCCTCCTCAAGGTACTCGGTGTCAACCTCTCCGGCACATCTAAGACGTTTGTCCTCCCTCAAATTCCTTTTTCCTGGTACTGACTGAGCGCAGGCCGAGGGATTACGACTTCACGTCGCTCCTACAGTGGAAACGTTGGAAACAAGTCAGATTTGGATGAACGCAGTTTCCTCTGGAGGAAGCAGACGAGTATCTCATAGATTGAGGCTCCGGTAGCTCATGTTGGGTGCGTCTTCCTTTGTTATACAACCCCCCCCCTTCCCCTTCTGTCCTGTATATCGTGCTAACACATCACAGAGGACATGGTGACAATGCACTGGGCGTACGTCCATTCCCACCCCTCGAAACTCCCACCCTACTGGCTCCCAGCCTTCGTCTCGATGCATCAAGATGTCTTCTCCCGCTGTTCCGGCGACTCGAAAGCCCCAGCGCGAACGTTCACGAGGCAAGGCCAGGTTGAACGCGCTGTAGGAGGGGATCACACGTCCCGGGAAACCTGAGGCGGACAAGAGTATTGGGCCTGAACGGTAACAAAAGCTTGCAGCAACGACTGCCTGATGAGAGTACAGCATGATCTTTTGTGTGGAGAAGACATTCTCGCCGAATGACGCCCCAAGGAAAAGACAATAGTTCCTCTGAGACCGGCTCCTCGCCGCTGAAGATGTGCCCGTCCAGCGACTCGCTCCTCCCCGGCGGGCTCGGTTTCCAGGTGCGTCTTGTTCCCTCCTCCAGCTGCTTACTAACCCTTGGCAGATGATGAACGAACACCATAGCGGGAACGCCGAGAGCCGCCTCCATAAGCGAGAATGCAACACCGATTAGTATCTGTGGTCCATAAGGCTGGTTGCTTGCCACCTGTGGTGAAGAACGTACTTCACCCTTGGGTCCTTCACTCAATGCCGCAGAGTGAGTCCAATGTTTTCAGTCAGCAAGGAAGGAAATGTTGGCGTGAGGAGGGGCCGAGGGGCAGTAGGGTGTTACTCTAGCAACACGGGAGGGGGAAGCAGCAGTACCAACCAGTTTTGGATGGCGGAGGTGGGATGCTGTGGACACTTTGACTCCCTGTCTGCGAATGCTGGGAGGAGGAGGATGTATGCTCTCTGCGGAGGAGTGAGAAACTCATTCCTTGAGCCTTTGTCTAACAAGTTGTATTCAGCTGCCCTTCACTAACCTACCCTCTCTTAAACGCGAACAGCACACTGAACTCGTTGATACATATACATGTTTATTCAATCGACTTACAGAACAAGAATTCAGCATGTAGTCCTATGTATTTGCCGCACAATGCCCGCACAAGCCCAAGGAAGAATTCCATTCTACTCTTCATGGAGCTTGGCGACAAACTTAGCTGATATCTGAGGGTACTGGCCGGTCCCAGTAATCACATACGCATCTTCTTCGTCAATAGTCTGGACCGTTACGGTCATCCCCTTAAACTCGCCTTGAAGAACATATGCGCGACCTCCTTCCTCAGGAGGTACCGGTTCAAGGTGTTCCAGGGGTACAGTCTGTTCCGTGCCGATGGCGTTGCTATCCGGGCTGGTGATCACTCTGACACTTGCTGTAGACTGGAAGCCTTGATCGAGTGGTAATGTTGAAATGATGCGACCAGTGCTACCTTCAGGAACTAGCCCTCGCCAAGACTCCGGGCCATGACTGGTGTACTTGGGCACGATTCTCACGATGATGTCATGAGCACCAAGCAAGTAGTCTTTGCGATCTACAGAAAGCAGCGGCATCAGTTGCGATCTGTCGAATTATGAAGGCCACTCACCATCTGCAGCAGCAGCACCAGGCGTAGGTGCCGACAATGAATTCCAAGCAGGGGTCGGTGCGCCCAGAGGGCCAGGAGTTGGTCCACCGTACGGGGTCGGCGCTCCATAAGGCGCAGGCGTCGGCGCGCCGTACGGCGTTGCCGCTGTGTATGGCCCAGGAGTCGGCGCTCCATATGGTCCCGGTGTGGGTGCACTACCATATGGTGTAGGTGCTGTAACTGCCGGGGTAGGCGCACTGTCATAGCCTCCCATGCCGGTATTCTACAGATGACTCGTAAGCAACAAGAAAGAAAGTTCTCAGTGACAACTTACACTGTCACGAGTAGCCCAATTCGTCCCATGTGAAGGAGATCTTCCGCCATAGGAGTCCCCGTTTCTGGTACCCCGTTCTGAACCGCCAGAGTTAGCATCGCCGCCAGGTACAGATCTGCCAGCAGCAGGTGTACGTCCTCCTTCTCGCGCATAAGGATTCGGAGTGCGCGAGGAAGAATTCCACGCATCTCCTCCGGCGTTAGCAGCAGCGTATGGATTAGGCGTCCGGGATGAAGTGTTCCATGCAGGGGTTTTCGCGCCCTCCTGAGCATAGGGGTTAGGCGTCTTCGAGCTGCTGCTCCAAGCCGGTGTCTTGCCACCGTCTGTCGCGTATGGATTGGGCGTTTTCGACGAAGAGCTCCAGGCGGGTGTTTTGCCGCCATCAGCGTAAGGATTTGGCGTACGACCAACAGCTGCGCTCCAGCCAGGTGTCTTTCCGCCTGCACCGTATCGACCACCGGAAGGAGTCTGACTGCCGTTGCGCCCATATTCGCTAGCCCTGTTCGAGAACCCTCCACGACCACCTCCACCTCCACCTCCGCCAGATCGCCAGTCGCGTCCTCCAAAGTCCGTAGGCTCGCTGAGGGTCCTCAAAGCACCATTTCTGCAAGGCTGTCAGCTGTGTTCTCCACTGTTCAAGACGACTCACTGATCCTTTCTCCGTAGATGTTCCTGCTCAATCGTAATAACCTTCCTTGTGGACTGCAGCTCCACCCGGCATTGGGTCCCATTGACATCCTTGATCGTCCCAGCATAGCCTTTATAGCTGCCTTTAACGATGGTAACGAGCACATTAATCAGTCTCCGATCACCACGGTTAGTGGGTGTAGGACCACCGATCGACATGCTGCTCAGATTCGGCTGGCTGGGGTTGAACGCGCGCCTCTTTACAGCATCTGGACGACTGAGGTTGCTGCTCTGGGCAACAAACACGCCCCCATTTTCCTTGATAGTCCTGTTGTGAAGAAAGGCAGAGAAGGAGTAGACGTGGAGGACGACACCGGAGCGGCCCTGAACCGTCATGAGTTCCGCTGCACGTCAGTGGTTGAATAGAAACGCACAGCTCCGTCAACCTCGACCATGTTATCGCCCTGCTTGAACGTCTCCCGATTATGGTCAAGCGCGATCGACTTCGCCGTATTACGGTTCATCGCGATCTGATGAGGATGAACGTTGTGCACTGTGCCGTACTGATCAAGCACACGGAAAGAGTCGCGTCCCGTTTGGAAGATCACCCCAACAGTAGTTTGGCTACAGGCATCGTCAGCACGTGTAATAGGGCGAGCGGGAATACTGACTCTAGGGAAACAAGATCATGAAGGACGTAATTCCCAACGGTATTATTCGACGTTCCGACTTCCGCAGCCGTACGCAAATCCTTCGCGAACACGGTGATCTCCTGCTGGTTCGTATCCGACAAAAAGGTGACAGTATTCCCATCGACCATAATCACCAGGCCAGTCTCGTCCACATTCTTGCCAGACATGACCTTGACGTGTTCTCCCACTAGGAAACGCTTTCGGACGCTCTTGGCAGGTACCTCGATCACTTCGCTCATATCCTTCAGACTGGGCTGGATGAGCACGTTGTCCCCTGACATGCTCTGCAGTACACCGTATACGCCAGATTGCTGACCTTCGAATACCTCGACGCTATCTCCTGGTTGGAGCACAGCAGTAGCGCGGCGCTGTGCCGCTTCGCGGATGGCGTTGAGGTCCATCTTGTTGGCTACGCCTTCATCGTCGGCTCCGGGCCCGCTGAACTTGGTGATCTCCTCCAACGTCGGTTGTACATCGTCCACTGCGAGCTGATTGGCCTTGTACTCCTTAAGACAGTAGCCATTATAGTATTCGTCTCCCTGGAAAGTGAACGTGCGATTTTTAGTCCGGTTGACGGACCTAATGCCGTACACACGGGTGATCTCCTCCATGTTGAAGAACTTTTGCGGAGGGCGCCCCTGGACAGTGTTGATCAGAGCGTTGCGGACACGTTTCTTGCCTGCGACAGCCTTGTTGCCTAATGACTTGTCCTCATCTTGAGGACTAACGTCGATACGCGGGATATACTTGACAGTGTATCGTTCGCCGGGTTCGACGACGTCCGTCACTTGGGCGAGATCGCCTTGATACCTCCCGCGCCTGATACGCACCCAGCTTCCGACGTCGATGTTCACTTCTTTCTTTTTGATCCGGAGGAGGCTCGCCATCTCCTCGATCGGGACGAGGTTGATGGGGCTGCTGACGAATACACCGACCAGGCCGTGGGCTGCGGAACGAACGTGGGCTGCGCTGCGTGCTTCGACGTAGATCATCCCTGGGAGAGAGGAGCGCTCGAAGGCGGACATGATCTCCAGAGGACGATTCGTGTACTCGAGGTCGCGGGCTTTTCGGATAAGGGAGAACACGATGTCGCGCTCTCGACCAGGCTGTGACATCTTGAGTAACATGCTCATAGAATACATTGTATCATGACTCACCCGCACTCGGACTTGCCACAGCGACGGATCGTTGACACTAGGCATCAACAAGCGCTGCGGTACCTGATCCAAGTCGCCCGTATAGCGCGTCGCCTTAGCTTGCTTAGCCTGATTCCGGAAATAATCTGCAAGTTCAGTCGCTTCCATGTCGTGCATCGCCCGCTCGCGTCGATCAAGCTGCTGATGCTGCATATGTGCGCGTCGAGCTGCTGCACTCTCTTGCACCTCGCTCTCGTCGATGAAATCCCGGTCTGTATAAGTTAGTAACATGAGAGAGAAGAAGGCGCGGACGTACATTCGCCTATGGCTCCTTCGTCCTCTTCGTCCTCTTCTCCTTCGTCCTCTACTTCAGCTTCAAGATCCACGAAAGATTTTACAAACCTCCTATGCTTGTGCTATTGCAGAAAAGGCTATTAGGGCTTGCCCTTTACGAGTAGAGCGAACACACCTTTGACCTCTTCTTCGGTCTACCTCTATCATCCTCGTCCTCGTCCTCTTCTTCGTCCTCCTCTTCGTCATCATTATCCCCCCCTCCGCCTTCCAAGTCTTCTTCTTCTTCTTCTTCTTCCCCTTCATCACCATCCCCGTTTGCTTTCAAGCGCGCCTGTTCCCGCTTTCGGATCGCATTCTCGTCATAGTCTTGATCGACTTCTCTTGCGCGTGTCGGGGGGTCCGTAGGGGATGACATGTTCGCACTTAAGGCAGGAGATGGTCGTGCACCAGCAAAGGGCACTGCTGCCTGTTCAAGTGCTGGTCGAGGTTATATACGAGTGGTAAGTGGCGACAACAGAAGAGCGCTTCAGGGTTTGAGTCGCAAATATTTCCGTTTCACGCGCCCGATTAGCTTCCGTCGTGCCAGTTCTTGAACTGATTTTTTTTTGCTCGTCAGTTCTCTCTTCTCTATCTCTCAGTTGAAGACACATGTATGACCTCTGTATACCTACTATCCGCTCCCTTCAACTATCAGTATACTCTTCGTTTCCTAAGACTTTTTCCTCGACCAAGCCATGAGTACCGATCTAAACGAGAACTCCCCACACTGCTGGACATCCCCCATCCACCCACTGAGTACCGGAATCCCAGCTCAGCACCGTTCTACCCTCACGAGCGGTGCGAGTCGCACCCAAGTGGGGCGTTTTCCGAATATCGATCGTATATTTCTGGAGCTAGTATCTGACCCGCCTCCGCGATATGAAGGGGTGTGGGGCTCGTTCCGCTGCCGGACAGCTGCTTTTCGCTTTTGTTTGGAGCAGGAGGTTGGGTAGAGGTTGAGGCGGGTGTGTGGGATTGTTGGTGTTTGCTGTTATTGCGGAAGTTACGAATACATTCTGTTCGCTGTCCGGCCTCTTCAGTGTCCCCTCTATTCTACACATTGAAGGCCCAGCATACACGCCCTCATTCTCACAACTGGATGATCACGTCGACCTTCCAATCCGTATTCCCCAGATCAGCCCCACCTGCTCACTCTGACTGCACTGCGCTGCCAACGTTCGGTGACATGCGGCGCATAGTAAAACACATCCAATTCCTTATTTTCTATTCCCATACATGTATCCATTCAAAAACCGGTGCTCGTATTCCCACAGCATATAACCCGCTCACAAAGAAAGTAATCCCCAACCTACCACCCTCGTGTACGCACGTCCTAGCTCATCTCGCCAATCGGTCCAGGCTGGGACTGGGCTGCTCAAACCTGGACGGTGCGTCCTTCCTTCTGACTCTGGTAGATCAGCTCGATCATCTTGATCACTTCTAGACCTTGTTCAGGCTACAATGTCATATCAGCAGGTTTTCGGAAATATTAGAGGGGAGAACAAAGGGAGTGGGGCAGAATATAATGAGCGTTGTTCAACAGTGGGATTTGGGATGGAGTGAGGAGTTGGAAGAGATAACACACCGTCACGGCCAGCAGGCCTGGATCGCGAGCTTGCAGCGCCTCGCCAACGTTCTTGTACCACAGAGTACTGAGCGTGTGTCAGTCGTGTGCATGAGGGAGAAGAACCCGAAATCCGGCTGTGAAAGGTGGAGCGAGCAGCCAGCAGATAAGGGGCAGTGGAGGGAAGGAAGCAGGAGGAACGAGAAGACTTACTAATCGCCCTTCTCTGTGGGGGTCTTCTCGCTCTTCATCGCCCCATTCGCATCTACGGTCGTAAGCGTTCCCTCGAGTTCTTTCGGTTCTACAACCATCCAGCATCCGCTTTTCCTTAGCCAGAAAAAGGCACTCACCAACCCCAAACTCCGGGTCGCTGAGGCTCATCAGTACCGGCCGGCGAAGCTGCGGTTCCTGTACATCGAGCCCATGCTTCACCCACCCAGCTTTGGTGCCTTTGACGACATACCTCAGCTGGGGGTTGAGCAAACTCAGGATCCCTCCGCGGATGATGATCGTCAGCGGGAGCGGGCGTTGGGGGGTGACGGGGTAGTGGAAGAGGGCGAGGAAGGAGTCGGCGAAAGAGGGATCGCCAAGTTGGCGAGAATTGCCCACGAAGCCTGTGAGACTGGTGGGAGTGCCGAAGAGGGTGAGCACTTGGTCGATCTGCGCGTGGAAGATGTGTGTTAGCCAGGCGTATATGCTAGTGGGTAACCAGACCAGAGGAACGGAATGGCGTGAAACGTACCAAATGACTCCCCAGGTCGAATAGCGCACCCTGCCCCGTGCCAGGCTTCTCCTTCCACGTCCCTCCACCGGTCATCGCCGGGCGGAACCGATCGTAATGCGTCTCAAACTCGACGACCTGTCCAAACACTTGTTCCTTCTCGAGCAGCCGGCGCAGGGTGAGGAAGTCGGAGTCGTAGCGCCTGTTTTGGTAGACGCAGATCAGGAGGTTGTGTTTCTTTGCTATGGCAAGAAGTTCAGCACCTTCCGTTGTGGTGGTCGTCAGAGGCTTCTCGATGATGACGTGTTTTCCTGCTTCGAGGGCGGCCTGTATGCGCGTGTATCAGAATCCCCTCGTGAAACATAGGGAGAGGCGCACCTTGGCGTACGCATAGTGCGTGTTGTTAGGCGTGCTGAGCACGACGACATCGACTTCCTTATCACCCGTGACCTCTTCAAAAGTAGTGACAACCTTTATCCCCTCTCCATACTTTTCACGCGCAAAGGACTTTTCCGGAGCAGCACCACGCTCGAGGATGGAGTGGAGGGTGAAGTACTGTGGGTGAGCGAGGATGAATGGGATGTGGAATACTTGAGCGCTGAGGCCGGTACCGAGAACAGAGGCTCGCAGTGGTGCAGGCATGTTGCTGATGGTTGGTGAGGATGGGTGAAGATGGTGGTCGGATGGTGGGAAGGGAGACGACGTCGAGGAGGTAATGAGTGCCAGCTCGCTCGCTCCGATGATATGCCGTCTCATTCTCCACATGGATCGTCGGCGATAAGTCACTTCATATTCGGAATGTCAGCTAGCTCCGAGTGGCAGTGTCGTAATTTCATCAATCGACGTTCCCTAAATGAATGATCACGTTCATCCGGCCCATATCGGCGGTCCCATCGACCCTTGCTTCTTGACGCCCATGGGCCCTCACTCAATGGTTCGATAACAGGCAGCCTCTTATTCAAGGTGTACACTATCACCCCTGTCTATCTATTTGAGTACAGTACTGGAAGAGCGTGGAGTCTTCTTACAGGAACAGTATTTATCATCTACCTGCAATTACATTGACAACGGGCCACAATACCCCTTGGACACAATGTACTTTTGGCCGTTTGACGTGAGCACCGTACACATCACCTATGCCTGTCTAGGCTCCTTCGTCGTCTTTGTGAGCCCTCTTTGTCTTCAGGAGAATAGACGCTCATGACCCCACAAGTTCACACTCTTCTCCCTCGTCATTCGCGAAAAGCTCTATCTCGGTGAAGCAATCTGGGCCACAGTCTTCGGCATCGCCATCGGGCCCTATGGAACCAATATCGTCAATCCACGTTCCTGGGGAGACGCGGATATCGCAAAGGTCAACGCTATCACCATGGAGGTGACGCGGGTCGTCCTTGCTCTTGGCGTGTTCGCGATTGGCGTCGAACTGCCCAAGAGTTACCTACTGCGGCATTGGCGGAGTCTTACTATCTTGTTGCTCGGAGGGATGACCTGGGGATGGTTGATCTGTGGAGGTTAGCATTCTCTCCTCTATGCATGATGACCTGCTGACTGGAGAATAGCGCTTATCTACGTCCTTGTCCCTGGGCTTCAGTTCTATCCCGCGCTTGTTGTCTCTGCCTGTCTTACCCCCACGGATCCCGTACGTCCTTTATTACGCATCATTCTCCCTGCTAACACCCGACAGATCCTCGCCGCCGCGGTCTGTGGTGGAAAATATGCCGAGAAGCACGTCCCACTCCATTTGCGGCGGATCCTCGCGGCGGAGAGTGCGGCGAACGATGGACTCGCCTTCCCTTTCTTATACATCTCGCTCTATCTTGTCCTTGAGGGACCTGGGGAGGCGGTAAGGGATTGGTTCCTCATCACCTGGCTCTGTACGCCTTCTTTCCCTGCTCCTTCGCGCAACCTACTGACGGCGACGCGTATCTGTTCACAACCTGCAGACGAGGTCTTCGTCGGGATCCTCATGGGTTGCGTGTTTGGCTCGTTATTCCGCATGTTGATGAAGATGTGCGAGAAAAGGGAGTTCGTCGACCGATCGAGCAGTGTCGCACAATATGTCGCTCTGGCGATAATGACCATGGGTATGTCTCCCTCCTTACCGCTACGTGCATATATGCTAACTCCTCCTAGGCTTCGCTCTTCTCCTCGGCGTCGACGAGCTTCTCGCTGCCTTCTTCGCCGGCACCGCCTTTTCCTGGGACGGCGCGTTCAACGAAGCGACCGAAGACACATCCTTTAGTAGCGTCATGGCGATGCTGTTCGACTCTGCATGCTTCATCTTCATCGGCGCTTGGATGCCTTTTGCGAGCTTCTACGATGCCAACTTGACGCTGACCGTGTGGAGACTTGTGGTGATCACCATCTTGCTGCTTTTGGTCAGGCGCATCCCGCCAATCCTGATGAGCTACAAGATCATACCCGATATCAAGGTACGCCGCTCTCTCCTCATTATCCTTACCTGCTCATCCAGTGCAAAAGAACTTCAAAGAAGCCCTCTTTTCGGGCCACTTTGGCCCTATGGGTGTAGGCGCAGTGTTCATCTCTTCTCTGGCAGTGAGCAAGCTACCCACGCCTACAGGACCCATTAGCGCCGATGACCAGCAGACGCTCCTCGCTGCGAGTATCCAGCCTATAGTTGCCTTTGTAGTCCTGTGGAGTATCCTGATCCGTGCGTCCTCTTCCTACCCGCGTGAGGAACGCACCGCTCACACCTCTTCTGTCTTCCATTCGTGCTGATGTTGTAGATGGCCTCTCTATCCCCTTCTGGACACTCAGCAAACGCGTGAACACCCTAACTTACACCTGGCCCCGCTCCCCCACCGCCCAACCCGAATGGCTTAACCAAGTCCTCCGCCCCGGTTTCTCCCGCACCACTACCATGACCCAGCCCACTACGCCTACACCCGGGTTTGTCGAGTCTGGGATTGTTGTTGAGGGCGAAGGGTCCGTGGACGAATGGCCAGAAGGGAGGAAGGCGGAGACGCCTTCCCAAGAAAGAGGCCCGGTGCTTATTGATGAGGTGCTTCGGACGGCAGGCCAACCTAGTGCTGGAGATGGCACGGCTGGGACTCAAGGCGGTCCGGGCCTTGCCAGACAGAGGCTTGTCACTTTCTCCGCTGAGGAGAAAGGTAGGGAAAGCAGGGTGAGCAATATTGGAGGTGGTTGGCTGGCTGGTGGACCGGAGGATGAGGCGGAAGATGATGTGAGTCGTTTTCTCATTATGGTTTCTCTTCTTCTGAGATTTGTTTCTGTAGGAGCATGCTGCTAAGGAGGACACGTCAGAGGAGCAGGCCTCCCCGGTTCTGGAAGAGACCAACCACCCTGCGATACCCGACACTCCTATCACACTTCCCACCGTTCCTATCCCCGCCGCGCTGCGAGACGTCGCCAATCCACAGAACGCGGCGCACGGTGCTCAAGGAAGCTAACAATTACCTCCCCTCGGCCTGGGGTGCTCAACCTGGGTCGGGAAAGCAGGAAGGACCGTCTGGTCGAAAGGCTTCCAGAGATTATGGTTCGCCTTCAGATATCCATTTATTGAGCAGTATAGACGATCAGGACGGTGTATGTTTTCCGAAGAATGTGCTCGAATTGGGAATTATGTTTTTAGGTTCTCGTATGTGGTACAAATCATTTGTTTTATTTCGAGTCATTGACGGCCGTATACTGGACGGCGCTTTCGTGGGGATATGATTGCACAACTGTACTTAAAACAAGGCTGGTTACTGAGTATTTGTCCAGCTGTCGGAGGTGAACATCATTCATGTGGATCAAGAACTGTGTGATTTTGTTCACCAATGCGTCTAATACATGAGTAGATGGGAGTTCGGTGGAGGATGGCTGTGAATGTGGGAAGGGGAAGGGGCGAATGAGCAACACGAGCGAGAACAGTTTGCAGCCTGCTTCCGGCTCAAGACACGTTCTGATCACGTTTAGATCACATTCAGCCACGATCCGATCGCGTTTGTTGTGGTTGTCTTCAGCTTGTATTGCAGTGAGACGAGGAGTGCGTCGATCGTGTCAATGTAAATAAGACCGTCGACGGTCTTATTTACACATTCCAACTCGACGCGTCGAGTTGGAATGTTGCAACATTTCCATCCTTGCTGACTGCATTTCCATCCTTGCTGACTGAAAACACCGCCGCACCGATATTGAGGGTTTGTCTCAGTTGACTAGTTTCTGTTCTCTTCCATGGCACCTTTTATTTTCCCTTTCCTCCACTTCATACTAGTTACTATATTAGATGCTGAGCGGTCCCCTGGACTGGGGGGGACACAACTCTACCCCGTTACTTCCCTATCCGATCTAGAGCTCACTCATTGTTTGCCCTCCCTCTTACAATATAACGCTCATTATACTGGCTGGCTACTCACTCTTGAGTCGTTCACACAAGTGCGATTACTATCTGTCTATATGGTATCTAGGTATTCATTCGGAGTGTAACGCACCAATGCGTTGGGCTCCAATAATACCTAGATCAATGATAGCAGTGTCCAGTCCCCAGAAAAACCATGCCCCGTTCCTTCACCCTAGTGATGAATACGGTCCAGGTTCAGGGCCCCAGATGCTGATTTTGAGTGTGTGGGACGATGTTAGCGTTGAGTGTACTTTTGAGGGCCAATAAGAAGGAAAAGTATAGGAGGCTGGGAAGGTGAAGACAGGGGGGTTCTGCTTCGTGGGTTCGGGGTAGGGTTCATCGTAGGGCGCTGGCTTGTGTCGGCACCCGCAACACGGGGATTCGGGAGAGGGTTCGGGGCAGGCCTGGAATCGCCCAAGAGTACAGAAGCATTACCTTCAGGTATGACAGGTGGCGTAAACATGACCGGGTACCTCTTTTCAACGAGTCATAATCACCGGTGCAGCGATAAACCAGGTGCAAGTGTTCCTCTGCTCTTCCAGTCCGGCACGATATTTCGTAGATGCGGGCTTCAATTGCGGCGGGGATCTGAGTGCACGGAAGAATGGCCGGACGGTGCGCCCTCCGACGTAGATTGGTGCCCGTGAGCAGAGAGAGCGGAGTCAAGTGTAGGTTCGACTGTTGACGCATTTATCGAATGTTCCATGCCCAGAAAAAAGGAATCGAGAGGTCGTCTGGAATACATGGACAAGCACGAACGAGAGACGAAAAGGATAGGAAGAATGAGCGACTGTAGGCCGTTTCAAGAAGTGGAAAGGGACGTACGGATCAAGATACTCCCAGGACAAGAGACACTCCAGGCAGCGGAATACTGGCAGCTGGCAACATCTGCTGGTTGTCCGAGCTGATGAGTCCTGCTTCCGTAGGCAGCTTACTTACTGCCACGGAAGAGATGAATGATGCGCCTGCTCCCTTGGGGACAAAGTGGCGTAAAAGAGGGCATCATTTGAAGTTCTGTCGCATTGGATGAGAGGATAAGGATTGGGAGGAAGGAACCGCGTGCCTTGGTATCCGGCGTGGTCTTGTAGCCCGTCAGAACTGGTGGGAGGGATCTGCCAAAAGCAGCAAGATGGTGATAGAAAAGAATCTCTACATGGCGATCACAAGTTAGCATCAGCAAAGCTCGCGAAGGGTATCGCTGCGCCGATGAAGACGACGCATGCCGAGTTGAAGACCATCGGTACGACGAAATGCCGGGAAAGAACGCGGCATAGAGATCGTCGACGCAAATGACTTGAGAACAGCTAAGCCCGGGAGAAGTTAGTAAACGAGAACAAGGGTGTTAGGGAGCGAGACATACCCATGATCATTACCGTCAGAGAGCATACTTCCTGACGCCTGATCGATCCAAGACTCACCTCAGCTCACATCTGATCATTACCGGCGGAACAGCAGATGAATGTGCTGCTCATGAGGATTCCGACGCGGACCGCTTCTGTAACCCGATGACGAACAGATACACGTGGTGAGTACGTTGAAGACAGGACCAGGGGAAGAAGGCGTACAGAGCGAGGTGATGAGGGGCTATTCCCTGACAGCCGCCCTGGAACCACATGAAGCGAAATGTTCCAAGAGGGGAAAGCAGGTCCATTGTTCGAGACACTTCCCGCAACCAAGATACG